AAAAAAAAAAAAAGAAAAAGAAAAAAAGGAAGAAATAGAATGAGCTCGAGTTTTTCCGCCGCCATCATACAGATGTAGGAGCTACTTTGGACGTTTTTGAAGCTTAAGAACTAATTCAATGCATTTGTCATTCTTTCTAGTCATTTTTCATGTTATCTACAGTTATAAAAAAAAAAGAAATAAATAAACTCATACCATCATGGAACTGATTCCACTAATTTCTATTCCATCTAGTTCAGAGAAATATTTATTCACCTGAAGTAAGGAAAGAAAAAAACGTTGACGAATAGCAGACTACGTGAATTATAAATAAAAAAGTTAAGAGAAAGATATCACTTGCCAGATTCTTAATCGCTGCCAACGTCGATGACGATGTCCTTGGCGATGGAGAGGTTGACAATGATGCTGCTGTCGTCATCATTACTAACAATAGTGATGATGATGGAGATGGGATTAATGACGACGAAACAGCTGATGTTTCGGCTGCTGCTACTGGTGATGACGCTGATGCTGACGGTGCGGATAACGATAATGATGATGATGATACTGATAATACAGTTGCCGATGATGCTGCTTCTGATATTGCTGTTGCCAGCTTTGATAATAATAAATATTTTGATGCGGGTGATGAAGATGCTTCTGCTGCTAATGAGGAGTGTGATGATGGTGAGGGCAAGGGTAATGGTGAGATTATTGATAACGGTGATTGCGACGATGATTGGCGCAGAGCTGAGAGATGAAGAAAATTCTCATTGTTAAAATAAAATTGACACTCAAAAGCGTTGATTAAGTGTAACGAGGTTAGAGTATGGCAATTTAAAAGTATTATTCTATTTATAGAATCTTAAGCAACTCATGTATTTAGTACCTACTGAACTAATTGTACTCACTGCAAGCTTCTGTTCCTTGCCCTGCTGAAGTTTTAGTTGCAAAAAGAGGAATTCCGGTAGACGTAACGATATTCGATGTGTATAAATTTGAAGTGCTGTAGATGTTATTTGCATATTTGGTGCATGTGCAGCTATTTTGTTTTTCACAAGATTGGTAGAGTACCGTACTGAGAGGCGATGTGTCATAGGACGACATAAAACTTCCGCAACATTCACCATTTCCAGAGCATACAAGCTTATCCTGAGAAATGATTGGCCAGGTTCTAGTCATGCGACATGCGGTAGCTTTGCACGTCTGTGCACAGTTATCAGCGTTACAGCGCATATTGCACACATTTCCAGTGTCGCATGTCTGTTCTTTACAACCGCCTCCGCTACATTCCATATTACATGTTTTGGCCTTGCAAGTCTGTCGACAATCCTTTCCGTTACATTTCAGATGCATTTTGCATTCTTTCACCCCGCCTTCGCATTTCTGTATTTTACACCCACCCCAGCTACAATTCATTTCACATTTGTTTTTAGCCTTGCAAGTCTGTTGACAATCCCTTCCGTTACATCCCAGATCCATTTTGCATTCTTTCACCCCGCCCTCACATTTCTGTATTTTACACCCACCCAAGCTACAATTCATTTCACATTTGTTTTTAGCCTTGCAAGTCTGTTGGCAATCCCTTCCGTTACATCCCAGATGCATTTTGCATTCTTTCACCTCGCCTTCGCATTTCTGTCTTTCACACCCGCTACATTTCAGAACACATGTATCAGCCTTGCAAGTTTGTTCTTCACAATCCTTGTTGCTGCATTCCACACAACTAAAACAATGACCATTGCTGCAATTCCAAAGGCAGTAGTCATGATTTTCACAACGCACGTACGCTTTACACTTATCTTGATCGCAAGTTTCAGAGCCAAGCCCAAGACCTGAAGAAAAAAAATTGCAATAGTGATAATACTGATAAAGATAGTTCCGACAATTACAAAGCGAACATAGCAGAAATCGCAAATTAATTCGTAGACAAGGTACTGATTAATACAAACACTAGCAGATTGTTAGCAACTTTTTTATAACATTCCAAAGTAAAGCGCGCTTTGATTGGTCAATTCAGCGTCCACCGTTTGCCCATGGGTGTAAGCTGCTGACCTGAGCAAATGTAAAGACTAGTTATCCGAGCGCACTTGTTTCTTCTGGTCAGGTAAGATTTGTTAATTAAAAGAAAACTCTTTTGCAACAATCTATCAATGTTATGTTATAAAACAAATAGTAAACGCCACAGTGTACACTATTGAGTTATGGATGCACTTGGGAGGCCTGCTTAGCACTCAAGAAGCTAGATGTCGCTCTCGGCTTTCGCCTCTTGCGACCCTTATGCTTCTTTCGTGCTTAGCAACCTCCCGCTTGCATCCATAACTCAGTAGTCTTCGCTTTGGTGTTTACCACTGCTTAATTTGTAATGTACAAGAGTTATTATCCTGTATTTTATCCGATATCGCATTTCTAATACCATTCTTCTATGGTTCTTGTTGCTGTTTGCAAGGATCAGCCTTAATCAATTACTTTAATTATGGGTCTAAGGGAAGGAGGGCGAGGGTTCTCCTTCTTTGGGCTAAACGGGGACGTGTTGCTGGACAAGATATGTTTTTTTCGTCCTCGCTGTCCTGAACAGGGTGTACAATTTACTCGCCTCTGTCCTGAACAGGGTAAGAACCTGTCCTCAACACAGCATGGTATTACGAACCGAGAGACGTTAAGCAGCCATAA